AGAATGGGACGCGCGCGCGCGCGCCGTCGCGCGCGCACGCTGGAATCGCGCAAAAGAAATGGTTGGTTTCGTAAGGGAGCCAAAACCGAGCGCCCCGAAAACATCGCTTCAAACAACAAACATTGGTTTGCAACGCAGTGTTCCCAAAAATCTGCGCGCTCGCATTTACGAGTACTTAGGGAAACCATATGTTTTGCAACGCGCGCATCACACGCGACCAGGCGGGCCACTCGCGCGTGCGCGTCGAAATCATTCGACAGCCCTTGCGCGCGCGCTCGGGGGAGCGCGACCCCTGTCAAATAATGTCACGCGGGCCACTCGCGCGCGCCGGCCGCGCGCGCGCGTCGAAATCCTGCCGCGACCTGCAGCGCCGACGCGCGAACGCCATGGTGGCCGCCGACGCGATCAGCACCGGCGCCGTCATCGGCCCTGCCGTCGACGTGGTCATCGTCGCCACCAGCATCGCCACTATCATCATCGTGTCTGAGGTTGTCGACGTCACCCCCGTACCGCGCCCGCCCGAGTCACCGACTCGCGCGGAGGCCCGCGCGTCGGCGCGGCCTGCGAGACGCGCTGGGAAGCCCCCAGCGACAGGGCCATCGCGGCCGCGTCGGTCGCGCCAGATTAGCTGGCCCCTCTGCACGCGAGCCCGCGCGCGCTCGCGCGGCCGCAGCGATGCGCCAGCCAGCGCCGAGCAGCCATCGCAATCGCCGCCGCAAGTGTCCTGCTAACCAATCTGCGAGCGGGCAGAAGGAGCGATTGCGCGCGCAGTGGGGTCGACGACTCGCCGCGAAAACCATATTTGCACCGCGTAGATTGCACCGCGCCCATTGCAAATCGCAGGTTGCAAAAAAGAGATTGCACCACAACAGAAGCTCCAATAAATTGCACCCTTCAGATTGGCCCACATAGGGCACACCGCATAAATTATTTCACATCGATGGTTAAGGTTTCGCGCTGGCTAAATACATATATATATATATGAATACATCCATACATACATCTACACGACCACCCTTCGGGCGATAAGGAAGTCGCGCGGGGGGGGGGCAACCAACATCTGACTCAATCAATCTCACTTCGACCTCACTCAACAAGACACCACGGGACACTTATCGATCTCACGATCGATCTCACTCAACGGGACACCACGGGCCACCACGGGACACCACGGGGCACCATAGAACACCTCTCGATCTCACTATCGGTATCACTATCGATGTCACGATCGATCTCACTCAACGGGACACCACAGAACACTTCGGGAAACCACATCGATCTCACTATCGATCTCACTATCGATCTCACTCAACGGGACACCACGGGACACGACGGGACACCACGGGACACCTGTCGATCTCATTATCGATCTCACTTTTTGGGACACCACGGGGCACCTTGGGGCACCACATCGATCTCACTATCTATCCCACTATCGGTCGCACTATCGACGCCACGATCGATCTCACTCAACGGGACATCAGCGGGGCACCGGCGGGACACCGGCGGGACACCGAGGGCCACCGGCCGCCGGAGGAGAATCATTCGTTCCGGCCGCGGCCCGGCCACAGGAGGATTTCAGGGCGCCAGCAGGACACCGGCGGGACACCGCGGGCCACCGGCCGCCGGAGGAAAATCATTTGGTCCGGCCGCGGCCCAGCCACAGGAGGATTTCCTCTCGCCCGCCCGCGCAGCTTCGCCTCGCACGCACGCACGCACGGCACGCACGATACGAACCCGAAACCGAAATCGATTTCCTGGCAGGGGGGGTCTCCGTTTCACGTCGGACTCACCCCCTAACCTCCGATACAAGCACATACAATATGCACACACACACACACATACGTACATACACTCCCCCCACGCAGTGATAACATTTTGGGGCTACTGTCTCTCCATTTACGGAACTGGCCCCGAATGTCGGTCTGACGGCTCCGCGTTGGCCGCCGCCGCCCCGTCGCCGCCTCGTCGCCGCCCGTCGCGCGGGACTGATGGTCGGTCTGGCGGTTCCGTGCTCGCCACCACCGCCCCCTCGCCGCCTCGTCACCGCCAGTCGCCTGGACCCGACCGCTGGTCTGGCGGCCGCGTTGTCGACGTCGCCGCCTTCGTTGCACAACGCAGATTCTTTTTTGCAACAAGTGAATAGAGTCGACCCCCCACCCCCACCCCCGGGATTATCGGCACCCCTTTTCGCATTGCAATTTACATGCGATTCTGCCCCATCGCCCATCCGAAATTTGAATTCATACCATCCCAGACCAGCCAGCATCGCCCCCCCCCCCCCCACCACCGTCATCCTCTTCAAAAAAATGCCATGCGCGCGCTCGCTTATCAAAAATCATCCGTTTGCAAGAATCCCTTGCCTGAAAATGTCACGATGTGCACAAGCGCGCGTCGTCGCGCGCGCATGCCGAAATCCTTCTAAAACATGTGGCCCCGCAAGGAATTCAAAGTCGAGTGTCCAAAAAAAACATATATATACATATATATACATATATATATAATGGCTTCGCAACAGGGATTTTCAAACAAAAGCTCGCGCGCGCGCTCTTGCGAATCCTTAAGAAACCATTGTGTTACAGGTTCAGAAATGTTATTAAACGGGTTTCGCGCGCACACACGCCACAGCCGCTCGAACGCCCCTGCGCACGTGCCGCCGCGAGAATCTCTTGCAGCATGTGTGACGAAGTTCACGCGCGCACGTCGAAATCCGTCAAGAACTTTTTGGTTCCGCAAGGATGGCAAAAGCGAGTGTCCAGAAAGCATACAAAACCACACGGTTTAGCAGTATCAGTGTTCAAAAAAGCGTGCGCTCGCGCTCTTGCGAATTCTCGAGAAAACCATCGGCGTTTCAGCAAGTGCTTAGAATTCTGCCAAACGGGCCTCTCGCGCCGCATGCCGACATCATTCGCGCGCCTTCGCGCGCGTGCTGGGGGGCGGGCGCGATCCGCGTCAAAGAATTCCATGCGTGCTACTCCCGCGCGTCGACCGCGCGCGCATGTCGAATTCTTTCCAAAACCTTCATCACCGACGCAAGGACGCCGTCATCGTCGCCGGCGCGATCAGCATCGGCGCCTGCACTGGCCGCGCCTTCGTCGTTGTCAACATCGCCACCAGCATCGCCACTAGCATCATCGCGTCTACCGTTGTCGACGTTGCCATGATACCGCGCCCGCCCAAGTCGCCGACTCGCAGTGAAGTGCCCGCTGGGATGCGCCCAGCGGCCAGCTCAATCGCGGCCGAGTCGGCGGCACCAAACTAGCTGGCCGCTGCGCGCGCGCATGGGTTGGCGCGGCCGCGGAGGCGCACCAGCCAGCGCCAAGCACGCATCGCAATCGCCACCTCGTGGGTTTTGCAAACCAAGTTACGGGTGGGTGGGTGGGATGTTTGCAAGAGCATGGGATGTGTCAACTCGTTTGTTAAAACAAATTGCACCGCATTGATTCTCTTTTCTACCAAAAACATAGGATCGACCCCCCCCCTCGGACTATCCGGCTCCATTTGGCACGTGCACTTCGCGAAAAATTATGCCCCATCGTTGTTCCCCACGCGAAATCATCCCATCTCAGACAGGCCCGCGAAGCCCCTCGTGCCCTTTTCAAATAACAGGACGCGCGCACAATCGCCCATCAAAAACCATCCACCTGCAAGGATCGTTTGAACCAAAGACAGAGTCCACGCGCGCGCGCCGTCGCGCGCGCATGCCGAAAATATTCGAAATCTGTTTGGTTTTAGCGAGGATTCGAAATCGAACGCACCGAAAATATGAAATCGAATGCCCTGAAAACATGGAAAAAAAAACATTGTTTGAGAACACGATGATTCGTCAACAAAAAATTCGCGCGCGCCCATGCACATCCGCATGAAAACCATTGGTTGTTCACCGCACGCATCAAATGCGACCAAACGGGCCCCTCGCGCGCGCATGTCCGAATCATTCGGCCGCCCTTGCGCGCGTGCTGGGGGCTGGCAGGACCCTTGTCAAAAGATGCCACCTGGGCCACTCTCGCGCGTCGGCCGCGCGCGCACGTCGAAATCATCCCACGGCCTTCACCAACACTTCGTGGACACCAGCATCACCATCGACATGATCAGCATCGGCGCCGTCATTGGCCTCGCTGTCGTCATCGTCACTGTCGTCACCAGCATCACCACTATCATCACCGCGTCTGCCGTCACCGTCATCGCTCTGACACTGCGCCCGCCCGAGTCACCGACTCGCACAGAGAAGCCCGCGCGCCAGCGCGGCCTGCGGGTCGCGTTGGGAAGCCCCCAGCGGCCAGCGCAATCGCGGCCAAGTCGGTCGGCCGCTCTGCGCGCGAGCCTGCGCGCGCTCGCGCGGCCGCAGCGACGCGCCAGCTAGCGCCAAGCAGCATCGCAATCGCCACCATAGGGACAGCGCAAACCAAGTTGAGGGCGGGCGAACGCGATGATTGCGCGAGGCCTGGACTTCGCAATCTCAAGTTTGGTAGGGCGAATTGACCACATAGCACCGCACAGGTTGCACAACATAGATTGCACCACGTAGACCGCATACCAGAAATCAAAACCAGTCCCTCTCACCGCACGTCGAAATCATTCGAACGCCGTTGCGCGCATGTCACTTCGGCCCCCCCCTCTCGGAGCCTTTTTGGGCTCTCTTACGGGGCCTCGTGGGCCGTTTGGGGGCCGTCTTCGGGCGTCTTAAAGGCGATCTGTCGGCCTTTTTGGGCCGTCCTGGAGCGTCGGAAGGCTTGCCTACGCGAGAACGTTGAAATCCTTCCAGAACGTATGGGGCACGATCAGAGAGGGGGGGTCGGGGACGAGGCGGAAGGACAAAGTGTTGGGGGTCGGGGGGAAGGGAAGGGGGGAGGAAGAGGGAAGGTGGGGAGAAGACGAAGGGACGACGGGGATAAACTGGAGTCGGGGAGGGAGAGGAAGGGGGAGGAGGAAGTGAAGAGAAGAAGGAGTGGGGATAGAGTCGGTAATGACTGCTCTCCTGCTCTCGGGGGAACGGGCAGGTCAGCACCGACCTGCACAACACGTGCTGCTGGAACAACGGCGTCAACAGCTTCGCACAAGGAAGGGTGTGGAGGGGGGGGCTCCCTTCTGATGAGTGTCGAGTATTGGTATTGTCGTTGGGGCGCGTGGTACAACGTGCTTTGTGTACAAATGGTGGTTCAGACGCAAGAGCAATGGTGACCAGGTTTGGCCCTTGCTGGGCAATTCCACGACAATCATCTTCTGGAGAACGCTCGATGTTCCTTACCCGCGTGGCTTTGAACATGTGTTCCACAAGCCCTCGATACCCGCTCTCTTCGTCTTCCCTCTTTTGAGGGGGGTCCTTCTCCTGGCGGGGGCACGGCAGCCTGATCCTGAAGGCAGTCGGAACAGGTCAAGCGGACCCTAACTCGGGCGGTCAGGTCGTCTGGGCGAACCCGCAAGACGGCCCAGGTGGCTCGACGGCCAAAGAGGGCCCCAGGAGGGCCCCAAGAGAGGCACGAGAGGGGAGACCCGAACTGACTTTCGAGCCCGTCCCCAAAAGATGGCTCCGGAAACCGCCAGCAGTGCCCGAAGAGGCTTCCAAGAGGCCCTCAAAAGTGCCCGAGAGACCCCCAAAACGCCTCCCAGAGGCTTCGAGGGGCTCCCCAGAGGCTCCCAAAAATTGCTTCAAGAGGACTCCGATGGGACATCCCCAGAGACCCCAAAAACTCCCCAAACAGGCCTCCGCTCTACGGCCCAGGCACACTGTCGGTTTGGCCGAAGGCACCTAGAGGGTTGTTTGTGTTATGTTGTAGATTCTAATTCATGGGGATCTCACGACGAGCCAGAAGAGTCCCAAAATATGTTCGACATGGTTTACGCGACCTTTGAGATGGCACCAGAGAACGCCCAGATCAGCCTCCCCCACACTGGAGGATGAGGACGAGTGCGACGAGCAAGAGGAAGGGGAGGACAAGAGAGAGAGAGGCTTACGAACAGTCCCAAGGGGCCGCCCAGGAGGGGGACGAGGATAAGGACGAGGCAGAAGAGAAGGAGGGGGAGCAGGAGAAGCAGGAGGAGGCGGACGAGAAGGAGGAGGGCAAGAGGGACATATGGTGAGGTTGTTCACTTCTGACCTTCGAGGATGTTCTTGTCCTCGCTGTCGCAATACATTCTCAATACATACGTATACTTGCACACCACATGTGCGGCCGTTTTGCTGTCGAGGCCAGGGCGTGTCTCGAATACTGATATGTATATGTAATTATGTATACACATAAAGACGTACCTGTATAACCATACGTATACATACAAACATATACACATACATATATATATATATATATATGTACATACACACATATACACACACATAGACACATATACACATACATACATACATACATACATGCATGCGTGCATGCATGCATGCATGCATGCATACATACATACATGCATACATGCATACATGCATACATGCATACATGCATACATGCATACATGCATACATGCATACATACATGCATGCATACATGCATACATACGTCATACATTCATACATACAAATATACATACATACAGATATGCATGCATACATACATACATGCATACACACATACATGCATGCATATATGAAAACATACATACATACACACACACATACATACATACATACATATACATTGATTCTGACACCCTCCTCCGTGTACCTATTTTGGCTCAAGATGAAAAGAGATCTTGTTGCTAATCAACACATTATCTCATCATGGTAGCGTGAGCTGGCCACTCACTGCTGCGACCCACCAGGGCCTCGCGGCGCGCGCGGGCGCCACGGCGAGCTGGCAGGGCGCGTGGCCCGAGGCGAGAGGCTGGAAGAGAGCGGCATCAGCCGCACCGAGCACAGCAGAGGCCGGACCACCGGCAGAGGCTGAGAGGAGACCACCGAAGAGCGGCCGCAGGCGCGGCAAGAGGAGTGACGCAGCTGTTGAGAATCGACGACGACAGTTGCAGTTCAAACACGGCCTGAAGGACACGGGCAACAAGCTGCACGACCTCGCGTACATCGAGGACCATCCCTCGGAGAACTCGTCAGGAGCAATCGAGGAGGCGAAGGAGGAGGTCTTAGATCAGATCATAGACCTCGAGCGTACGAGGCAGGAGATCTCAGAACGCAAGGAGGAGCTCGCCAGGAGACACGCAATCAAACATGGACGAGCAAGTTCGGCAGCAGTTCGACTTACTGAGGCAGGAGTTCGCAGCCCGAATGAGTCAGACCGTCGACGAGATGCGGAGGCTGGAGAACGAGAATCAGAGGCTTCAGCAACAAGTAGCAGGAGGCCTCGCGGCGATTCCGCAGGCGATCGAGCGCATGGGCGAGCAGATCCGAGGAGCTACGCACGCGGGAGGAGCCGCACCAGGTCTCGTCGACACGAAGGGGATCGGCAAGCCCACGACGCTAGGCGACGATCAGGAGAAGTTCGGAGCTTGGAACCGCAAGATGGAGAACTACGTGATAGGCGTGTACGGAGAGAGCTTCCGTCCTGTTCTCCGGTGGGCGGCAGAAGCCGAACGCCCCGTGACGATCGAAGGGGCACAGGAGGCGCACGGAGGAGTACCAGAGCTGGTGACCAAGATCAACCAGCTGTACGCGGCGCTGATCAGCACGACGGCGGACGGCAGCGAGAGCAACGACCTCGTGACGGGCGCACCCGACGGGAACGGTCTCGAGGCCTGGCGGAAGCTTCACCGCAGGTGGGACCCGACGACAGGTCCGAGGAAGAGGCTGATCCTGAGGTCGATCATCTCGCCTCCGAAGTGCAACGCGGAAGAGCTGGGGTCCGCCTTAGAGAAATGGATCCAGCAGATAGGCAAGTACGAACGCCGCCAAGGAGAGGACGGGCTGGCCGAGCTGCCGGAGGATATCAAGATGGCGGCCCTCGAGATGCTCGTGCCTCAGGACATCGAGAACCACCTCGTACTCAACAAGCATCGGCTCGTAACGTTCCAGGACAGTCTGAACGAGGTGATGACGATCGTGGAGGCTCGGACAGGCGTGAAGATCAAGGAGCCATCGATCCGCGCACGGGCGCACCATCCGGACGACATGGACGTCGGATCGTTCGGAGCCCCGAAAGGAAAAGGCAAAGGCAAGGGCAAGGACGGCAAGAGCAAAGGGAAAGGCAAGACCCAGGAGACGAAGGGGAAGAGCAAATCGACGAGCGGATCATACTCAGGCTCCCGCACATCCCCGACGGGTTCGGGCCGTGGTTCCGGGCACACGGCACCCCGAAGCACCGGCGTGCGCTTCGACGGCTACTGTCGGAACTGCGAGAGATGGGGCCACAAGGCATCCGAATGCTGGAGGAAAGAGCAGGGATCGAGTACGAGGGCTGGAACTGGATCCGCAACGGGGGCAAGCGCTGGTGGTAAAGGTGGTGGCCGCGGCGGCAAGGCCGGCGGCAAGGCTGCAGGCAGCCTGGAGGAGGAGCCTGAAGCGGAGGTCGCCGCCCTGGATATGGGCAGCTTGGATTGCCTGGAGCTCGCCGGCGGCAGCGGCCGCGGCGTAGCAGCGGTCGACCTCTCTCCCTTCGCGCAGGACGACTGGATGAAGTTCAACTGGGACAGCGGTGCAGCGGTCTCAGCATTCCCTCGGAGCTTCGCGCCGCCGACGGGATTGAAGGGCAACGGCAGCACGTATCGTACGGCCAGTGGTGAGCTTGTCCCGGACGAGGGCAGCTTGCAGCTCAAGGCGGAGGATGAGTACGGAGTGCTACGAGCGCTCAAGGGACGCGTGACGAACGTGCACAAGCCGTTGATCTCGGTGGGGCAGGCAGCAGGAGCTGGACAGTGTTCGTTCCTAGGCCGCAATGGCGGCTGGATATTCCACGAGAAGAGCCCAATCGGCAAGCGTGTGGTAGGCATGCTGGAGAAGGAGGCGAAGACGGCGAAGCACCAGATGCTGCCGGTCTATCGTGAGCAGGGCGTTTACAACTTCTACCTCAAGAAGGGCCAACATGGCTCGGTTGCTCCTCTCGAGGAGGGATTTTCGGCGAAGTCGAAGTCCGAGCTGGTGGAGCTACTCAGCGGCAAGTCGAAGGAGGAGCTGCTGGAGATCCTCGAGAGGACAGTCCCCAGGAGGCAGCCCTCGGCGTAAGTCCACTGGAAGACTCAATACAGCAGTCCCCTGCGGCATCGGCTGCAGGGGCAGCAGCGGCGGGGTCGGGACCTTCCGACATGAGACCGCCGGGTTTTCAGCCAGCAGCAGCTGCGGCGGCTGACGCTTTGCCAGCTGCTCCTGATGGACAGCAGGCCGACGAGGGCGAGGAGGAGGCTCGCCCGAGGGTGCTGAAGGCACCTCATGAGCCCTCTCAGAGGGAGATCGCCGAGCACGAGGCGATGGGACACGCGACTTACCGCAGCTGGTGTCGCGTGTGCATTGCGGCAAAGGGCCAAGGCCAGCCGCATCTCCGCGCACCGGAGGACGACGAGACGGCGGTGCCGGTGGTCTCGTCCGATTACGCCTTCATGGGCCAGGACGACGCGGACACCATGCCGATGCTGGTCCTTAGGGATCGACGTTCGAAGATGATGGCAGCGACATTCGTGGAGAAGAAGGGCGACGACGCCTACGCCATCAAGTTCTTCGCACGCTTCTTACGGATCCTGGGCTACAGGAAGATCGTCAACAAGTCCGACGGCGAGCCAGCGATCCTGCTGGTCAAGAGGCGTGCGGTGGAGGAGGTTCCTGGCCTCGAGGCCATTCCCCAGGAGTCGGCACCGGCCGACCATCAGGCCAATGGGGAGATCGAGGTCACGGTGCGCGAGATCAAGAAGCAGGTGCGAGCGCTCAAGATGGACCTGGAGTCCAAGCTGGGCGTCAAGGTGGAGGACAAGCACCCAGTGCTAGCGCACCTGCCGGAGCACGCCGCATCGGTGATCAACCGATACAGGCGCGGCCAGGACGGCAAGACCGCTCTTCAGCGGCTCACGGGACGGCAGTGGAGGAAGCCGGTCCCGCTCTTCGGCGAGCGCCTGATGGTGCGGTTCGCCGGGGAGCGCACGAGGAAGAACGCGCTGGAGGAGCAGATGGTGGAGGCCCG